GAAGAACTTTTAACGTAGCTAATCTTATGATGGAAATTCCTAGTGGACTCTTAGCGTCTACTCAATCAAAGAATAATTTACTCGAGTTTACCTCTTCACTGTGTATAAATAATTTCATTTGCTCCTGAGATGTTATTTATATTGGCCATATTACCAGACAACTTAACTGATAAACATGTGAACATCTCCCAGCATTGATTGGTAAGGGCAAGACGAAGGCAATGGATATTGGCACAATCATTTGACAGTGGTCATGTGACTGATAAAACCATATGATTTTGAGTGCTCTACCATATACCTTCCTAGTTTTCTGTTCGTTTGAAACGATTCAGCATTGCGTAAATATAGCAACACACATGGGAACCATAGTTCGCTATATAATGATAATTCGTTAAAATACTCTTTTTCAGTTGAATTAGTCTCTACAAATCTGTTACCAGATTTAAAATGAATCGCCTAATATTTAAATGTTTACAAATAACAGAAAAAATAGGTAATTATTAGCTTGGTAAAACTGATATTCGTAACTTTTATGTTTCATACTACGAACCGATAACTACCAAAAAAAACCAACGAAATCACCGAATGGCTAGTTTGCTATAGTATAGGACTCCCTTGAACTGCTCTTTTTCTAGCAAACTAATGCCTGATGACAACTATTTAACCTTCACAATTACTGAGTTAGCATCCAACGGCTTAGATTTATAACTTTAGTCAATTTGTAATAGTTTGCGATCATCATCTACTGATTTTGTAGATATATAGGTAAAGAAAAAAGAAGTGACAATACCAGTAACCAAATGGTCTATAACCAAAAAACAAACAAACAAAATTAATGTATTCTATGAAACGCCTCAATTTTAGATAAGTGATTTATTTGTATACATTACAATCTGACTGGTTGTTGAATTAGCAACAATGTATTCTGATACTTGTAAATATCAGTTAAATAATCTCATATTATAGTATTGTTATATTTTGTGAAGTACTTTTATGAATGGCATTATAATCACCATGTATGCAATTTAACTAAAAACAATATTTAGTACATTTTGATTTGACATATCTATTGTGTCTAAAATGTCAGTAATCAAGGTATTTCCCAGTGTATTTGATAATTTTTTTCTATATTTTTCTGTTTTACGTAGTTTTACCACTTTTTGTTTTTAAGTTTTAAAGTTTTTGCATAAAATGACTTTTTCTTATCACAAAAATAAGTGTTACACATCCTTATAACATTTTTACTTACTTACTTATGCCTGTTACTCTTAATCGAGCATAGGCCGTCGATCAGCATTCTCCAACACACTCTGTCCTGGGCCTTCCCTTCCAGTTCTGTCCAATTTTTGTTCATTCTTCTCATGTCTGTCTTCATTTATCGGAGTAATGTGTTCTTCGGTCTTTCTCTTCTCCTTTGGCCTTTAGGATTCCATGTGAAGGCTTGTCTAGTGACTTAGTTGGGTGCTTTCCTCAATGTGTGTCCCATCCACTTCCAGTGCTTCTTCTTTCTGGAATCTGGTTTGTTCTCTCCCACAATAGGTTGTTGCTGGCAGTGTCTGGCCAACGGATCCGAAGTATTTTGCATAGGCAACTGTTAATAAACACTTGTATCTTCTGTATGGTGGTTTTCGTAGTTCTCCAAGTTTCCACCCCATACAGTAGAATTGTTTTAACATTTATATTGAAAATTGTGACTTCACTGTTGGTTGACAGTTGTTTTGAGTTTCAGATGTTCTTCAGTTGCAGATATGCTTCTCTTGCTTCACCGATCCACGCCTTCACATCTGCATCAGATCCACTGTGTTCATCAATGATGCTGCCCAGATATGTGAAGGTTTTTACGTCCTTCAAAGCTTCCCTGTCAAGTGTGATTTGATTGGTGCATGCTGTATTGTATCAGAGAATTTCGCTCCTCCCTTTGTGTATATTGAGATCTATTGCTACTGAGGTTGCTGCTACACTGGTCATCGTCTCCTTATAACATTGTAGAACACTGAAAATGAGGAAGAATATTGACAATAATAGTTTTAACTATTAAACTATCATTACTGTTTGGGTATTTCTAAAACACTGTTTGCTAGGCGGTTGGAAGTAATAAAAAAGTATGTGACTTAGGTTTCATAATGGTTATCACTTATCAGTAAGAGATACCTGTAATCTTGATGAAACTGATGCCTCCTGTGACTGACGCTGATTCCAATTCTTCTGGGAATATCAGCTACATCAAGATTTCAGGAGCCCTTAATGACGAGTATCATTTAGCACCAAACCTACGTTTAGTATTTTAAAACTAGTGTCCGTTATGTAAACTGATCAGTTCTTAAAGAATTGCTGAGTGATCAGTCAACTGTAAGAGAATGCTAAGATCTGGTCTATTATAAAGACCAGGAGTAGAACAAAAAGCACAACTTTCGTTTAATTTTACAGTTATATATTAACCACTTTGTATCGAACTACATCTTTATGGAATGAATTCACTTTAAAGTAATAAATAGAAGTCAGTCAACACTAATGACTAAACAGCACTGGCTGCCACACAACGATCAATCATTTTAGAGATCTCAGTTCTAATGGAGATCTGTGTAACCTGAAAAGTTTAATGGTTACATCTTTGATTGTGATATTAAGTGACGTTTGTTTGAATCCTACAGGAAGTATTATATCTTACAAGACTACACATTCATCTTGATGAAAAGTGCCAATTAGGATGAAGAACAGATCAAGTATAGCTTTTTATCTCCTGTAATTGACCAATGAACATTTTCCCGGAATGCTCTGTCTCCCCCTCCAATATGCATTCCTTATACATTTCATATGAATATCACCTTTAAACTATTGGTATCAGCGTGCATATTTACTATTTTTGTCTATTTCCATATATTCCTGTTATCAAAATATTTCAGGTTTGCACAATTAATAATTTATTATTTAATTATTGTTATTTATCTATTGGGAATATACATTTAGTTTCCATACAGAATAAAAATATACAAACTTAAGAATGTAGATATATAATTTGTAACTCAAATAGTATATTTTGAAGGTATTGAATTCACTGATCTTAGTATGTGACTCATCATTAAAGTGCATCCACAACTCCGCATACAGAACTCGAACACAGGACCTTCGATCTCGTGTGCGAACGCTTAAACTCTAAGCCACTGAGTCAGTATCTTACAGTGTTATTTTCTTATTTCATTTAATATACAATATTGATGGTGTTACATTCTTTGATCTGAATAGTCTTACTTTAAAATTCATATTAACGTGAAAGCATTACACTTAAATGAGTAAGTTCAGAAAGTAGAACAGTTTTTTAAACGACCTCCTAAGCTAGAAATTGTCCTCACAATCTGGAGAGATTTTTGAAAGATAGGTTTTTTTTAAAAAAATTATGTATACATTCAATGGATTTAGATAGATGTTAAACTTGAAATAGTAATTGGATTTATTAATGATTTCGAAATTTACACATTCAATCTATCTTGATAATTCAACAAAGGTTCAGTACATAGTTATATCTTCAATAATTTAAAGTTCAAACCAAACTTTCAAGGAAAACATTGTTGTTGTGTAATTGGACGAGATTTGTGGAAATATACTTTCTTTTGTTAATGCCATCTATTAAATAAACATTTATCATGAAACCAATAGTTCCAATTTAGATGAAAGTTCATATGTAGTTTAGTAAATCTCTAAATAAAGTTTGATTGTAGATGGAACAACCTGAATTGCATTTTCTTCTTAATGCATAATATCATCTTCATTTGGACAGTTTTTACAGATAAAATAAGTACCAGATAAAGATTATTTCACAGGTTTATTGATGTTTGTTCACTGTATATATGCGCACTGCTGAGGAGTTCTACAGTAGGACGAAACGGCCGTCCAGTGCTTCCAGGCTTCCTGTGGTGGTCTAGCTTCAACCGACTCATGATCTCATCTATTAAAATCATTATATATACCCTGTTAACTTTAATTTCAGTACCATTTGGAATATCTATATTAGAGACAATATGAACATTGACTTATGACAAATTTCTTTCTTTCTTCTGTGATTTTGTTTTTATCACAAAAGTTATATTTCCAAAAACTGAAATTTCGTAAGATTCTTTAGATTGTATAGTTGTTTGTTTGTGTGTGAGTGTGTATATTTTGCAAATAAAGTTGATTAGGAAAGATGTAGTTAAATATTTAGACTTGATTATTCCTCAGCAAGGGGTCATTAGAGTAATTTTTATCTTTTGCAAAAGCATATTAAACAAAAAGGAAATCATTTTTCGTATATAAATATACTAGATTCTTAAAATCTCAGTTTTTAACAGATAAATTCTGTAGAGTATCTTTCTTTTTGCTACTGAAACAAACTATTATTTTGGACCATACAGATTAGAGATTTATGTAAAACCATGTGTCTTTGAATATCAACCACCGAATATCTCATGTTGAAACTTAGAACATAATTGAATTCCTTATTAAGAACAATCTACAATATTGAGGAAAATCATAATTTCTTTGAAACGTACAAATGACCTATAGTGCTATATTGATGACCATTTATATATGAATGCTATTCAAGTTCTTGTCTCATATACAAAATTGATCAAAATGTAATATTAATTATAGGAGAGAAGGTTTTTTGTGGATATTATAGTAATTTAATAGTTGAAATCACGAGTCGATCAAAGTTAGATCACTATGGAAAACCTGAAGCATTGGATGGCCATTTCGTCCTGTCAGCAGTGCGCATCCACATTTCCGCCTTAGGACATATCAGTCTCGCGCAAGAGCGACACATCCACCATTGTTATCAATGAGTTACTATCTCACAATTGACAACATTGAATAGGTGTTCAATTCATAACTATTTATAATGAAAAATTCATTTGACTAGTTATGTAATCTTCCGATCTTGCTGTAAAAACAAGCAAGTAAACATTCTCATTCTCTTTTGTTTATTACATTTATCTATTTTATTTTATCAAATATATATATATTTATGTATTTCTCTTTTTCTTATCTCTGGAACATGTACAGACAAATAGAAATAAATAAACAAAATAAATTAAGTAATCATAACTATTCATATCAGTCACTTTTTATTAGACTGTCAACAACAACAACAACAACAACAAAAATCAATAAATAAAAAGAAAACAAAACGGCGAGAAAAATAAAATCAAAATGGTCACTGAAATTATTGTTGTTAATTCCCTTTTATTTGACATACAAAAAAAGGTGTGTTTAACACTAATATGTTTGCTATTAATTAAAATAATTGTTGTTTATTTATTTTATTTTTTTTTTGAGAAAAATGTTAACACCTTTCTTAAACTTGTTATTCATTGTTTGTTGATTCAGTTCTTTCTTTCTTCTTGTTGTTGTTGTTGTTGAAAAAAAATGACATTTAGTCTCTTTTTGTTGTTGTTTTAATAACATGAAATTGAAGTTAGACTATTATGAAAAACGTGGAAGCACTGAATGGTCGTTTTGTTCTAGTATGAGACACTTCAGTAGTGCGTATTCACGATCACGATTTGCGAGATTTTGAACTCAGGACTTATCGGTCTCGTGAGTGAATGTTTAACTTTTAGACTACTGAGTTGGCTGGCATCCAATGGTGGTTATGTTTAACTTTAACCAATAAGTTTTTGTTATGTTGTGTATAGACAATAGACAGTTAACTATTTAATCCATTTCATCTAGTTCATATATCCTGTTGCTTATTTTGTTAAACAGCTAAAGTGTTTTTTGGAAGGTCATATATTTGTTTTATTAATAATAACAATAGCTTATAAAAAATTTTAAGATTTTTCCCATTGAAATAGTAAAATGTAATACATTAATGATAGAGGAACAATTCTTTCTTTGAATACATTGTACTTCTTCAATTAGAGAGTTTATTTAGTATATTAGATTATTATGTAATTATTAATGTCATTGTCTTGATTCATGTATAAATGCAATAACCATGTGTAATGTAGGTACACACAATTTTAAATTACTTACTTAGGCCTGTTACTCCTAATGGAGCATAGATCGCCGACCAGCATTCTACAACCCACTTTGTCCTAGAAACACAATTATAAATAATTAAACAATAATAATTGACATATTGAGACAAAATGATTCCTAGTTGTAACTTAATAAATGAGAATTATTTTTTTATGGTTAGCGTCTTTTAGCGAGTTAATTTTCTACGGGATAAGGTCACTAACGCCATACTCAACCTTTCCCTTTATCCAGGCTTGAGACTGGCAGTAGCCCCAGTGGGGCTCTAGGCGAAGTTAATAACACAGAATATAAATTTTATTAAGGTCATATCTTTAAAATATTTAAAATGAAGAAAACAAATGAGAATATATTCAGTTTATTAATGAAATATCATTATTAGTGACCATCATCATTAATAAGAGATAATATATATATATAAATATAGATTGTGTAATCCATATGATAGATCCTTCTGAAATTAGAAAATATACAAGAACTGAGTTCAGTTTATGTTATATCATAGAATTACAGTTGCTCTAGTAATATTTATAACTGCATCAATCGAATGATTATGCTCATTATACAATAATGTCGTTGAAGATATTTCATTACGTCATTTAGAAGTGGACACTAACTAATACATGTTCTCAACATTTTTTAAATCATAAAGTTATATAAAAAAAGTATAAATAATATAACTTGTAAATAAATTAATATATTTTTAATCTCCTAATGATGGATAGTGACTAGCAGTGGAATCCAGTTTGACGAGCGCTTCGTCCTATTTGGGACTCGTCAGCTGGATGCACCTGCATCTCAGAGTTGATGTTCACTACGGAAATCGAACCCAGTACCGTTCACTTCAAACGCCATTGCGCTATCCACTTAGCTAATGAGCCCCGTTAGCCACCTGCTTGTGCAATAGGGTGAAATTTAAATTCACTTAGTATTGTTTTACTTGTATCTTCCCATTCTTGTTGAGGACTGCAATTGATCAGTCTCATGTTGTCATATGTGCATCCCGTATATCGAGGCAATCCGCATAGGATGCACACATGCCGACATGAGACCGATCAGGTACTGTCCTAAATAACAATAGGACGATACAAGTAAAACAACACCAAGTGAACATCCCAATGAGTAGATTAATCGAAATTTCCTGACGTTTCGTAACTCAGTATAGGTCACTTCTTCAGAGAATAAATAACCAAATCAAAACCTTGGTATTGATACTTATTTAATATAACTTGACTTGGTTTTTAATTAAAAGATATACTATAATTCATAATGATTCAGTCATTTACTGAATAACATTTATAACGACAAAAAATAGGTTTGAATTACATTGTAACGTTCAAGATTAGGATACATGTACACATCTTGATAACATGTCATAAAACAAGAAGAAGAGAAGGAAACACACTCTTTGGATTAAAATTTAATAATCTTTAAACAAAACAGGATTTAAAATAAATTTATTAATCATTTCTGGTTAGAGCATAATAACTTTGCTATAGACTGCATCCATATTCTAGCAAGTAAAAAGATATGCCGTGATGGTGCCACAGGTATTTGGAGTTTGACAACGCTTTATCCACAAACATCTATTATGAATCGTACCCACCTAGTGAAATCAGAAGTCGGAAGGGAGGAAGTTCAAAGATATATGTGATAGGCTATCGATAAGTCGAAAATCGACTGATCTAGACTGGCTAGCGATTGCATGATGATGTTGAGCACGGCGTTCCCATTCGTGATCTTGTGCGGATGCATGACCGAGCGCCTTCAGCTAAGTGAATCCATTAAAACTAATGTGGTCAGCATCCAATGTCGAAGACTTACAGAGCTATTGATTTTGGGGATTTATTTATCGCTATAACCGAATAATCACACAGATATGCATAAACCTTTAGTTTTAATACAATATTTATACTCAAAGTCTTAATGAATATTATTAAACTCCCCTCACGATTCTCTCTTACAATAACACAATGATTCGTTATATTACTTCTGTATTCTTGTTTATTTATTTTTTTTTCTTTTTGAAGAAGGAATAAATCGAAGTAAACGCAAAGACAGTTTTCTTAATTTTTTTTTCAACGCATTAATAATGTTTTAATTAGATTGTCTTAATACATTTTATGCAGGTTTTTTTTCTTCTATGGAACGTTTATCTTTATTACAGTATAATTATTCTTATCATTATAAACAAATTATAAGAACAAGGGTTGATTTCCAGCACAATTTCGGACAATTCTTTCTTTTCTCCTTTTATTTATATTATATATATGTATAGACGTATATAAACTGAATAACTGTATCATTTCCACGGAACGTTTATTATCATTTACAGTACATAGATTCAATTAAAGCTGAGTCAAATTATGATTGTAGTTGTAAACGTAGAAAAAATAAATAATAGTAATAATAATACAATATACAATAAGTACGAAAAAAAAGCGATTTCACCCCTTTCCACTCCACCCCCCTTCGGTCAACAAAAAAAGAGAAAAAACGAAAGAAAGAGGGAGAGTATTTTAAATGAAACAAACATAAATGTTTGTTTGTCTATTTGATTGTTTGTTTATTGTGTATACATCAAATGAATGTAGTAACTCATTATTATTATTATTACATATGATATGATATTCTTCGCATTCATATAATCAAATAAGTAAAATGGTTAATAAAAAAAAATAAAAAAAATTAATAAGCGGTTTTTATGTTTACTTTAACTGACTTTTGATTATATCTTTTTTCATCATCACCGTCATCCTCCCCCTCCTCCTCCTCATCCTCGTCATCATCATCATCATTATCATTATCAGCATCATCGTCATCGTCTTTCGCTTCTTTTTTTATTTTTTCATGTATAGTAAAATAATAATAATAATAATAATCAGAGAAATTTGTTAGTTACTTGGTTATGATTCTCTATTCAACTCTATTTATTTGTGTATATTGACATTTATTTAATTAGTTGTTTACAATGCGTTGACCTTACTTTTTCCCAAATGTGTATACAATGAAAACTATTATATACATATATATACAGGTATATGTATATATATTCACGTTGTTGTTACTTTGGGTATGGGTACTGTTATCTACTATTTTATATTCTATTACTTTTCTCTTTTTCTTTTTCTTCTTTTTTTCCATACTTCTGTTTACTTTTATTCTGTAAATCTACAAGACACAAATTAATTTATCGTCCACAAAATACGAAAAGAAGAAGAAATTTCAGTGAAATTGACATTGTAAAATTACTAGTGAATAATGCAAAAGAGGAATAACTAAAAGAGACCTCCCATTTTTTCATTTATATCAACACTTATTCTACTATTACTGCCTAGTGTTAATCAAGGTAAAGTGAGAAAATTTTATTATTTTGAACGAACAAATTACTTTAAATGTGTTGCCCAATTTTGTGGATTAGTTCAAGTTAGACATTAACACCGTCGGATGCTGGCCCACTCAGTGGTTTAGTGATTAAGCGTTCACACGCGAGACTGGTAGATCCTGGGTTTGAATCTTGTAAGTCGCGGTCGTGGATGCGCACTGTTGAGGAGTCCCACAATAGGACGAAACGGCCATCCAGTGCTTCCAGGTTTTCTGTGGTGGTCTAGCTTAAGTTAACTCATGATTTCAACTATTGAAATTACTAAAATCTCCACAAAACCCCTTCTGATACAAATTACTTTAACCCATACATCCACTTTTAAATCAGAAAAGATGAGAGAATAGTATGTTGACATCATTTCATTAATGATTACAATATTGAAAAAGAGAAGGGGAAACTATACAATGAAAGAAAAGAAAATGAATGGATTATGTTGATACATTTTGGATGCTATATATTATATAGTATGCTGTTGAATAATCTTTCTGTATTGTAAAATCGTATAATTCATTGAAGTTTATGCACTGTTTGAAAAGGTCTTTAATTCTTCCAAATGAGATTTTTCAGTGCCAACTGTGACCATAAGCAGTGAAGTAGTTAAAGATGTTCTGAATTTTACTTCATCTTTAAGCTTCATAGTTTTCGGTGAGCTGGTGCGCTGATAGGGATTAGCGCGAATACAAAAATTGAGCCTGCAGTTTGTTAACGTGGAATACTTGTAACATGAGAAAGTTATACTCTTCTAACTAGGGGGCATATGTGTAACGCAGACGACGAAAAAGCAATTGTACGGCATAACCAGCGGGTAACCAGTCGTGGAACTTGACACAAAGGTGTAAAT